CCCCCCCCCCGTGTCCAGCGCTCCCAGTTTGAGAGGGTCCGAGGAACCAGCGCTCCCAGTTGGGGAGAGATCCGGCCGTCGGTGCTCCCGGCTGGGCGGTTGACCGGCATGTCCAGTGCTCCCAGTGCTCCCAGTTGGGTGGTTGACCAAAGACACCCAGTGCTCCCAATGCTCCCGGTTGGGTGGTCGACCAAAGCAGCCCAGTGCTCCCAGTTGGGGAGGTGGCCAAGATACCCAGTGCTCCCAGCTGGGGAGGTGGCCGAGACACCCAGTGCTCCCAGTTGGTGGTTGACCCACATGTCCGCAGGCCCCAGCTGGGGCTTGACCAACACAACCAGTGCTCCCAGTTGGGGAGTGAGCAAAGCAACCGGTGCTCCCAACTGGGGAGCTGACCAAGGGACTGGTTCTCCCGCTCAGGTGGTCGATCGAGGCTCCCAGTGCTCCCAGTTGGGAGGGTGATTGAGGAACCCATCGCTGCCAGTTGGGCGCATATCGAGGAACCCACTGCTCCCAGTGCCCCCAGTTTGGCAGCTTCCCAACCACCCAGTGCTCCCAGGTGGGGAGCTGATCAAGGTAACTGGATTTCCTGGTTGGCCAAGACACCCAATCCCACCAGTTGGGCAGTTCACCAAGACAACCAGTGCTCCCAGTTGGGCAGTTGACCAAAATGCCCATTGCTCCCATCACTCCCAGCCGGGCGGTTGACCAAGACACCCAGTGCTCCCAGTTGGGGAGCTGGCCAAGCCAACTGGTGCTCCCAGTTGGGGAGCTGGCCAAGCCAACTGGTGTTCCCAGTTGGGTGACTGACGGAGATGCCCAGTGCTCCCAGCTGGGCTCTTGCCCAAGGCTCCCATCGCTCCCAGCACTCCCAGCTGGGGAGCTCAGCAAAACGCCCAGTGGTCTCGGATGGTTGGCCAAGGCTCCCATCGCTCCCAGTACTCCCAGCTGGGAAGCTGATCGAGGCCACCATCGCTCCCAGCGCTCCCAGTTGGGTGGCCGACCAAGGCTCCCATCGCTCCCAGTGCTCCCAGCTGGGGAGCCGCCAAGACCATCAGCTGGGTGGTTGCCCAAGGCTCCCCATCGCTCCCAGTTGCCCCCACCGGACCCCCCTCTCCCCTCCCCTTCCCTCCCCCGCCGTACCTGCCGCAGGTTGCGCGTGACGCGCACGTGGTGCCAGCCGCCGTCGTGGAACTTGCCGTTGACGGGCTCCACCAGCGCCTCGAAGGCGCCGGCGCCCAGGTTGATGACGAGCCAGACGGCGCCGGCCTTGAGCGACAGGTTGAGGAAGTCGGCGGCGCGGCCGGTGTGGAGCAGGAGCCCGTGGCGCTGCCGCGTGCGGAACGCCAGCGCCAGCTCGTCCGCGCTGCTCTGCACCGGAGACCGCGACACGTCGTAGCAGAAGAACTCGCTGCCCCGGAACGTGGCCACGTACTCGGTGCGGCCTGGGGGGGGAGGACACAGGGGGGACCCGGCGTGGAGACTTTGTCGCCGGGACCTGGTGTGGGAACCTCACGGGGGGACCCGGCGTGGGGACCTCGTGACTGCGGCAGGGACCCAGAAACGGGGTCCGCGCACGGGGACGTCGGAACGGGGTCCTGCGCGGGGACGTCGTGATGGGGACGTCGTGACGGGGACCTGGCAGGGGGGTGTGGCACAAGGGTCTTGCCACGGGGATGTCGCACCGGGATCTCGCACCAGGACCTCGCACCGGGGACCCGGTGACAGGGGGACTTCGGGGTGAGGATCTGGTTTTCGTGGGGATGTTGTGGTGGGGACATCATCACGTGGACCTCGCTGGGAGGACCTCACAGGAGGGAGGGGATCTCGCAGTGGGGTCTCACTGTCACCAGATCTCGTGGGGGGGAAGTTGCACCGGGGTCTCGCACGGGGCCCTCGTCTCAGGGACGTCGCACCAGGACCTCACACTGGACTGGGAAGGGGGTCCCGGGTGTGCAGGGGGTGTTGGGGGTGTTGGGGGGTCCCAGGTGTGTGTTGGTGGCCCCGAGGGGACCCAGGTGTGCCGGGGGATGGGCGGGGGCTCCCAGAGGGTCTCGGGGGGGTCCCCGGTGCGTGGGGGGGTCGCGCCCTCACTGACCTTTGGCCGCTTGCTGGATCTCGCCGGCGCCGCGGCCGGGCCCCCCCCTCGGCGACCTCGGCGGGCCCTGGGGAAGGGGCGTGTCAGGGGGGCCCAGGTGAGCTCAGGTGAGCTCAGGTGTGCTCAGGTGTGCTCAGGTGAGCTCAGGTGAGCGACCCCCGGGGCGGGGCGAGGCGCCGCCCTCTCCCCCACCCCCACGCCCATGCAAGGACCCCCTGCCCCCCTCCTCGGGGGGGTGGAGGGTGCGGGCCCCTCCGGCCCCCCATCATGCGCGGGGGCTCAAACGCAGCCCCGGCCCTCGCGGGGGGAGGGGAAGCCCCCCCCCGGGCCTCGTGCGAGGGGTCTCCCCCTCCACCTCCCCCCTCGCACGAGGGCTCGTGGGAGGGGCCGCCCCTCCCCCCGTCCCATCCCGCTCCCCCCGCCCCTCCCCCCGTCCCCGTGCGAGGCGGCCGCCCCTCCCCCCGTGTCGCACGAGCCACAGACACGATGGGGGGACATGGGGGGGGGATGGGGGGTGGGGGAGGGGGAGGATGATGAGGATGGGGGTGGGGGAGGGGCCCGAGGGCGCGTCTTTACCTTGGCCGGTGAGTCGCAGGTGGGCGGGACCTGGGGGGGAGGGGAGGGGGCGAGGGGAGGGGGGAGGGACGGGGGAGGGTCGGAGAACGAAAGCGAAAGTGGTGGGAAAAGGTAAAATTTTGGGGAAAGAAAAGGGAAAGTGGTTAAACGCGGTGGGGGGGAGGGGAGGGGGAGGTGCTCGGAGGGGGGAGGGAAATGGGGAAAAGCGGCGGGAAAAAGGAAATTGGGGGGAAAATGGGAAAGGAAATAAAAATGATGACAGAAAACGAAAGGGAGAAAAATGAGGGAAAAAAGAAAAATGGAAAACCAGAAAAAAAGAAAAGGAGGGAAAGGAGGGAAAAAAGGAAAAGGGACGAAAGGGAAAAGGGAGGAAAAAGGAGAAAGAGGAAAAAAGTGAAAAGGGTCAAAGCAAGGGAAAGGAGGAAATTGATAAAAAGGGGAAAATCAGCAAAATAAGGGAAAAGAGCAAAAAATAAAAATAGAAAAAAGTGGGAAAAGGAAAAATAATTTAAAAAGGGAGACTGATCAAGGAGAGAAAACAAAGAAAGAGAGTAATAAAAGGAAAGCAAAAAAGAGAGATAAGAACGAAACATCCAGAAGAGGAAAATATTCAAAAAAATTACTCAAAAGAGGAGAATAATTTTTAGAAGAAAAATAATTAAAATAAGGAGAAAATTATTGAAAAGGGGGAACTGTTATTAAAAATGGAGAGGAATAAAAAAAAGGAAAAAATAAAAAGGGGAAATAAAAAGGGAAAATAATTTAAAGAAGGGAAAATGGGTAAAAAAGGGAAAATAATAAAAATAAAGGGAAAACTATAAAAATAAAGGGAAAGTCACGAGAAAAGGAGAAATAATACTAGAACAACTACTTACTAGTAAGAAATAAAAAATAAGTAAAAAGGGAAAATAATAAAAAAATTGAAATAATGGGAAAAGTAAAAGAAAAAAGGGAAAAAAATGAAAAAGTAAAGGAAAAACGGCAAAATGGGAAAAAAAGGGGAAAATGGGAATGAAAGAGAAATTAATTAAAAAAGATAAAAATTAAAAAAAATCAGAATTAAAAAATAAAAATTAACCAAAAAACCCAAAATGACCGAAAGTCCCGGGGGGGAGGGAGGGGCCCCGGGTGGGGGAGGGGCCCCGTCACAACTTAAACCTCCTTTAACTTGTGACGGCATCGGGCGATGCCGGGGGGGGGGGGGGGGGGGGGGGCGGGGACAAGCGCCGGGGGGGCGGGGCCACGTGGGCTGCACCGCCTCTCCCCCCCCGCCGCCTTCCCGCGGGTTTTTCCCCTTTTTCCGAGGTTTCGGGGAAAAGCCGGGGGGTGGGGGAGGGGATGAGACACGGGGGGGCGGGGCCGCCCCTGGCGCGGGGACCCTCCCCCACCCCGGGACCCTCGAACGGGGGGGGCTCCGAGGGGGCCTCGTGTGGCGCACGTGGCTGCGGGCCCCGCCCCCCGCACAGGCCCCGCCCCTGCAAAACCCACGCCCACCCCACAGGCCACGCCCCTTCGCGTGCCCTCGTGCAAGCCCCGCCCCCTCGCGGGGTCTCACCCAATCCCCAGCCCTCGTGCGGGGGCGGGGCTGAGCTCACCCAATCCGGCCGCAGCCTGTGATCGTCCCCACCCCTCCCATTGGCCGCCACCCCGCTCTCATTTGCATAGCCCCGCCCCCAGACGGCAGAGCCACGCTTCATTGGCTCAGCCCCATCCCCTTCATTTGCATGCCAGCGTCCTATTGGGCCACCCAGAGAGTGACGTCATGGCCGGGAGCAGAGGGCGGGGCTCCTTGTGCCGGCCACGCCCCCTTTTCATGGCCTCGCCCCCTTTTCACGGCCTCGCCTTCTCACGTGGCCCCGCCCCCTCGTGCAGGCCCCGCCCCTCTCACGCCCCAAAGGCCTTTCAGGACCCCCCGTGACCCCCCGTGACCCCTGGTGGCACAGGAGCCCCCCCAGCTCCCCGGGGTGACCCCCCTGTCACACCCGAACCTGTTCCTGCCCCTCTGCTGAGCCACGACCCCCCTGCCCTGGGTGTGACACGAGGGTTTGCACACCCCTTCCACCCACCCCCCCGTTCCCACCCCTCACACCCCCCCATCCCCACCCCCCTCAGACCCCCCCAGACTCACCTTCCACTGCGGGTTCTTCCTCTGGGGGTCCCGGGGGGCAGCGGGGGGAGGGGCAGAGCCGTTAGTGCCCGGGACCCTCCTGTGCCCCCCCCGTGCCCTCGTGACCCCCCCCCCCCACCCCTGTGACCTCGGGCTGACCTTGGGGGACGGGGCGGGGGGGGGGTGGTTGCACACCCTGGTGCCGTTTGCAGGCCCTGACCCACGGCCCAGGGGGGGTTTGCACACCCCGCACCGTGTCCAGGGGGGTTCGCAGCCCCCCAGGGGGGTTTGCACTCCCAGGGGGGATTCACACCCCAAGGGGGGGGTTTGCACGCCCTGCACACGCCCGTGGGGACCCCACATCGCACATGGTACTGCACAAGCGTCCCATGGGGGCCCCGCACTCCATAGTGCACCCCACAGCACCCTACAGCACCCCTCGGGGGCTGCACACCCCATAGCGCACCCCATAGCACCCCACAGCACCCTCAGGGCCCCCCTGGTCCCCAGGGCCCCCTCCACTCCCCTGTCCCTTGTCCCTTGTCCCTCTCCCCCCTCAAGGACGCAGAGGGAGCATCCTGTGATGCCGTGACAACCATCGCCAGGGAGACGGGGCCCGAGCATCGCCGTGGCAACGGGTACCCAGCCCCAGCGGCGCCATGGCAACCAGTCCTGGCAACGCGCCCGGAGGATGCTGTCACCACGGTGACACCGGGCGGTTGTCCCCGGGTCCTGGGGACGTGTGCGAGGGCGGGTTTGCACGAGGGCGGGTCCGCCCGAGGGACCCCCATACCCAGGGCACGCCTGGGGGTCCCTCAGGGCACACCCGGGGTCCCTCAGGGCACCCCCGGCCGTCCCCATCACCCCAGGGGTCACCCAGGCCCCGGGGCTTTGCACGAGGGGGCACCGGGACGTGCGATGGCACCGGGGTGTGCGAGGGCCGGGGACAAGGGGGGCACCAGGGTGTGCAATGGCACCAGTAAACGCAGGGGTGATGCCCTGGGGGGGGCTGGGGGGTCCCCAAACTCCCGTTGACCCCCCAGCAGGGGGATCTCGACCCCCCCCGCCCTCCCCGTGGGCACAAGGACAGGTAAAGACGGGCAAGCGAGGGCACCAAGGGCACAAGGACGGGGACAAGAGGACGCGGAGGGACATCAGGATGTGGAGAGACACGAGGACCAGGGTGGGACACGAGGACCACGGGGGGATCACGTGTGGACGTGCAACACCGTGAGGGTGAGGAGGGACACCAGGATATGGGGGCACACAGAGGCAGGGAGAGGTGAAGACACAGAGCGACACGAGGAGCACACGTGACACCAGGAGGACACGAGGACGTGGAGAAGCACACGCGTGTGCAGCCACGGTGATGGTGTGAAGACACGGGGTGACACAAGGACACGAGGACAGGGGACGCGTGAACCAGGAGGACACGAGAACACGGAGCAACTCAAGGGCACAATGTCACGAGGACACCCAACACCACGAGGACACCGAGAGGACACAGAACTCCCCGAGTGCGAGGGCGTGAGGAGAACACCGTGACAGGGGGACGTGCAACACCGGGAGAGACGGGGAGGAACAGCGCGAGGAGCAGCACGAGGACACGACCAACACCATGGAGACATTCGGCGCCGTGAGCGCGGCCAGCGCCACGAGGACACGGAGAAAGACACACGAGGACACACAACACCGGGAAGACACAAAGACATGGAGAAACTCAAGGACACGAAGACACAAAGTCATGGAGAAACGAGGCCGTGAAGGCATGGGGACATGGAGAAACACAAAACCACAATGACACAAGGAAGTTCACTGCCAAGAGGGCACGAGGACGTGGAGAAGCACACGAGTGCAGCCACGAGGACACACAACAGCGACGACACTGAGAGGTGGAGAAACACGAGAGCGCCCAACGCCACGAGGACACGAGGACATGGAGAAACACACGTGTGCAAACAGGATGATGAGCAAATCCACGGAGACACGGAGAGACACGAGAACACAACGACACGAGGACGTTCGACACCAGGAAGACACAAAGACGTGGAGGGACTCGGGGACGCAACGACACGAGGACACCGAGACACGGAGGAACGCGGAGGCGCCCGACGTCGCCCAACGCAGCAAGGACGTGGAGAAACACCGGGAGGTGAGGACCCCAGCTCCCACCCCGGCCCCCGGACGCCTCCCACGTCCCCCCAACCTCCCGCCTTCCCCGCGCCCTCACCTTCCTCGCAGAAGGGCCCGCGGTGGCCGGTGCCGGCGCAGTCGCAGCGGGGCTCCCCGCGGTGCAGGGCGCAGCGGCCGCCGTGGGCGCAGGGCGGGTGGTGGGCGCAGCGCTCGTCCCCGTCGCCCCGGACCCCCTGGGCCCCCAGCAGCGCCGCCGGCGCGTCGCCCACCCGCAGGTCGGCCACCCACCCGCGGAACGGCGGCTCGTACTTGACGGTGCTGAGCGTCAGCGCCGAGAGCCGCACGTCGGGCGGGATCCCCCCGACGAACAGGTCGCTGGCCACGGCCATGTCGGGGCGCTTGGAGCGCACGGCGGCCGCCCGCGCCTCCCCGTCCACGGCCAGCGCCGCGTGCCGGGCGTGCCGGGTCAGCAGCACCGCGTGCCAGCGGCCGTCGCTGACCGGCGCCGGCGGCTCCAGCGTGGCGGGCTCGGCGCAGGCGATGGCGAAGCGCAGCCGCAGCCGCCCCTCGGCCACCAGCAGCTCCAGGAAGTCGCAGTTGCCGCCGTCGTCCAGGTAGAGCAGCAGCGCCCGCGTCACGTTGGTCTTGAGGCGGAAGCTGAGCTGCCCCCCCGCGCCCGGCGCCCACCGCCCGTAGCGCGCCCACTGCCCCGGGGCGCCCCCGAACTCCAGCGCCGACCCCCAGGCGCGGGGCAGCACCAGGGACCCCAGCGTCAGCAGCACCAGCCCCAGGCGGGCGCCCGAGGGGACGTGGGGACACGGGCGGGGGGCCGCGGTGGCCCGGGGGGGCGGGGGCGGCCGGTGGGGCTCGGTGCCTGGGTGGGCGGCGCAGCCCCCCTGGGCCGTGGTGTCCTGGAGGACCCTCGAGTCCAAACACGCCGCGGGGCCGTGGTTGACCTTGGTCTCTTGGGGGTCCAAGGGGGCTGGGTGGACCTTCAAGTCTGTAAGAGCCACGGGGGCTTGGTCAGTCTGGGTGTCCAGGTGGTCCACGGGGCCTTGGTCGGCCTCGGGCTCTCGGGGGCTCTCGGGGGCTTGGTTGGCCGCAGGGTCTTGGTGGACCCTCGAGTCCAGACATGCTACGGGGTCTTCGTTGACCTTGGCCTCTACAGGGGCCGTGGGGCTTTGGTTGGCCGTGAGGTCCTGGTTGACCTTGGGCTCTTGGGGGTCCTCGCAGGCTTGGGAGGGCACAGAATCCTGGTGGACCTTCAAGTCTATACAAGCCACGGAGCCTCGGTTGACCTTTGAGTCCAACAGAACCACGGAGCCATCGTCAGCGTTGGATTCTGGGTGGTCTGGGGGGTCCCGGTTGCCCACAGAACCTTGGTTGGTCACAGATCCTGGATGGACCTTGGTCTCCGGGTGGTCCTGGGAGCGCTGGTCGGCCACAGGCCCCAGGTGGGTCACGGAGACCTGGCTGACCTGGGTCTCCAGGAGGTCCTCAGAGCCTTGGTTGGGCGTGGAGCCTTGGGAGACCTTTGAGTCCAACAGCACCATGGAGCCATCGTCGGGCTCGGGGTGGTCCCGGGGGTCCTGGTCGCCCATGAAGCTTTGGTGGGTCACAGAGCTCGGGTGGGCCTCGGTCTCCGGGTGGTCCCGGGAGCCCTGATGGGTCACGGAGCCCGGGGGAGCCGCAGAGCCCAGGCGGGCCCAAGTCCCTTGGTGGTCCTGGTTGACCAAGGAGTCCCAGCTGGCCGTGGATCCTCGAGCGGCCACGGAGCCCGGGTGGGCTTTAGTCTCTTGGTGGTCCTCAGAGCCTCGATGGACCACGGAGCCCGGGTGGGCTTTAGTCTCTTGGTGGTCCTCAGAGCCTCGACGGGCCACGGAGCCGCGGTGGGTCTCGGAGCCCGGGTGGGTTTTAGTCTCTCGGTGGCCCCTGGGCACCGGAGGCCCCTCGGCGTCCGGACGGGTCATGGTGCCTGGGGTGGCTGCGGAGCCTGGGCGGGTTGGGGCGGCCCTGGGGGGGGCCTGGGGGGGCCCGGCCACCCCCGTCCTCTCACAGCCGCATGGGTGGCCCCGGCGGGGGGGTGACAGCCTGGCCGGGGGGTCCGGAGGCACCTGGGGGGGGGAAGAGAGTCAGGGAAGAGGCATCCGGGGGCACTCGGGTGTCCAGGGGGGCTCCAGGGATCTGGGGGTGGCTTCGGGCATCCGTCACCCCCCCCCCCCAGCCAGTTATCAGCCCGTTAATTAACCCGGTGATTGGGGGGGGCGGAGGGGGGTCGGTCACCGCGGCAACCCGGGCTCCGGCATTATGCAAATGAGCCCCCAGGTTATTTATAACACCCCCTCATTGGCTAATGGGGCTCATTAACATGCGCCGCATAATTAGCCAATCACATTAACTGCTGCACCTGCAGGGGGGGGAAAGGGGGGATTGACAGCGACCCCCTCCCCATGGCACCCCCCACCTCCCACCCCAGGGGGGCCCAGGGTGAGGAGGACCCCCCCAGAGACCCCCCCAGAGACCCCCTCAGAGACCCCTCCCGGGGAAGGCCCCGCGTCCGGGCACCCCCCCC